ATTTATAAAAAAAATACATTAAATACACTAACGTGTGCCTAAAATCTCAAGTAGAAAAACCGGGTGAATCTTTTTTGATTGAGTTGTGTCAGTGGATGTCTGGGTATACCGCATATTTTTCTTCAAATTTTAACTGCGGACTGCAGTCATTGGCGACAACCAGACAAATTTCGTTACGGTTTATAATTATCTCTGGCCTTTCAGAATCGGTGCCAAGCAAAAAGAATCTTGGCAGCTCCCACTTGCAACTAGTTGCAAGTGTAGTGATATAGTTTTATTTAATTAGTTGTTGAAAATAAAATAAAATAAATTATTTTATGTTCCGCATTTGGTGACCTACTTACTACCTTTTACAAAATGTGCATAAAACTAACGAACTTAGAATCAAATCTTAGGTCTTCCTTCCTCTTTCTCATAAAACTTTTATACTGTTTAAAAAAAATTATTTTATAATTTAAATTATTTTATATTATAAAATAATAATATTTAGATGTAAAAATGAGTAATATAATATTGACTCCCTCCCATTTGAGGATCCTTGTTTATATTAAAACAGTGCAAATTATAAAACAAGGATATTCAAATTAATTAATAATTATTATTTAATATATTAAAATTAATTTTAAATTTAATATTTTAAATATCATGATTAATTATTTAAAAATTATAAATTAATAAAATATTAATTAAATTAAACAATATTAATATAATTTTAATAAAATAGTATGTGATTATATAACTAATCCTTGAGCTAGATGCATCTGATTAGGGTTCAAATCCTCAAAAGAAATCCCCAACCCCTACACCCGAATTAGGATGACTAAGAAGAATTTCCCTTGTTCCTAAAGAGGAAAAACGAAAAAGAATCTTGCTCTTCAAACCCTACCAACTTTCGAGTTTTTGTTTTTTTTTGCCAAATCAAATGTACCCAATTTTCGAGTTTTTGTTTTTTTGCCAAATCAAATGTACCCAATTTTCGAGTTTAGTTGGTTCTTATTTAATCAGGTAATCAGGCTAATCAAGCAAAGAAAAATTACAAGTTCCAGCCCTTTTGCAAACAAAAATCATACGCACATAACTTTTCTTTTCTTTTTTCACATTTACCTCGCAAATCATGCAAATTTAGGGAAATAAAGGGAAAATCGAAGACTTCTCTCATTTTCTATATAAAATTTATACAATTTTTTATATAATTTTACATATTATTTAATGATTTATTTAATTTGCACTTAAGGACACAAATTAAAGTGTAATCAATATTATTTTATAATTAATTTATATAAAAAATATAGAAATTAACATTTATTTTAACATTATTATCACATAAATAATTTTAATTTATCCATTGACAAAATTAAGATCGATATTTATATTTTTCATATAAATTAATTACAAAATATATAATAAATGCATCATTAATATATGTCATCATGGCACATATTATAAAGTTAATTATTTAATGAGTAACTTTTTTTACTTAGATTTATAATAAGTAATGTATATATATTTATTTAATAATATGTAAAAAAAATGTAAAAAATAATGTGTTTATCATTTTTTTTTATGAATTGAAGGAAATTGAGGCCTTGAGGAGGAAGAAAAGAGATACAAGGAAGTTTAATTTTAAAAGTATGAATAAAGTACTTATACAATGATTATATAGATTATGGGTTAAGGTTCAGCTTTCATCATTATTAAAATTAAAAAAAAAAGAGTCATTTTTAATCCAAATTACATGAAATCTCTATTTATTAGAAATATTTTACTCCATCTTTTCATAACTAAAACCGCTATTTTTTCATACATTCCATGACTTCAAATCTTCAATAACCGTTGCTTAGATCAGATAATAATACTTAAATATCTACTGAAAATTTTTTTTTTTCTGTCTATTTTTCAGAAGAAAGGGTAAGGGTATTACGGTGAAAACAACAACAGTGAGGACTGAAGTATGAGGAAGGTTTGTCGTTGTAGTCAGGACGCCTTTCTGGGAAATCGCGCCACCCTTTCTCTGATGCGGGCCATGCGGCAGTAACGTTCACCTTCCTCTTCCTCCCTCACTAGATACATACTCTCCTCGCTCGGAAAACCACCTGCATTGTGAAGATACGGTGACGACGAACTCCCTCCTCTCTCAAAATGGCCGCTAAATCGTCTGAGGAGGTGAGATTTCCTTTTCGGTTTCTTAGAAAATTTCCAGATTTGGCACCATACAAATATTGACTCCTCTGTTTTTCTACTTCAAATTCGAGCAATTTTAGCCCTAAATTGTTCGAATTTTGCTAAATGGCGAGTTGCGCTATCTGATTTTTTGCTGATCTTGTTGATTTCTTCCGAGTATTCGAAGTGTTTGCGTCATTTTTCAAGCCTCGTAATCTGAATCTTAATTTTTGTTTACGTTTCCTCATTTTCTAAATTTTCTCACTAGATTTGCCTTGCTGAAGGAAATATTGGAGAGAAGGAATTTTAAACTTAATTTCTTGGATTTTCTCAGCTTTCTCAGCAGCCAAACAGAATTTTCTCATTTCTCTCCTCGATTTTCTTTTTTTCTTTTTCTTTTTTTATTTATCTAAAATGTTATATGATTGCCTGAACTTCTACGCTACTCTTATGATGTAGCCATCTATATTTTCTTCCTCGTTTATTTTCTCTTTCTACGTTAACTTCTCAATAATAGAAAACCTTATTTTTGCTAGAGAATCTTAATTTGGACTAAATAGGTATCTCAATTTACCAGATATATTTATAGCTTAACATTTCGAGAAAAAAATCATCCTGCAATTTTTCTTAGATTTGGGCATTTTAGCTCTGCATTTCATACTATTTTTCATTTTGTATTGGAAAAACCAAAATGGCTCTTGGTATTTCCTTAAAAATGAACAAAATGGTTAAGAGTATTAAGACAAATGCTGAGGAAAGAAAGGAGGGAAGAAAAGGCATCTGTTTTATGCATGTCATCTTAACCTGGTTTTTTGTGCTTGATTTTGAGCTCTAATTCGTAAGTTACTTTCAGGAGAAAGCATATTTTCCAGGGGTGATGGACGGGACTAAGAATTCAACTGTCAACTTTTCATGCTTTGAATTGATTAAGCCGAGTTTTGACAAAACCAAAGATTATTGTTCTCTGGGTAATGATGATTGAGTGAGATATGATATTCAGTATCCTCAATTTATAATTTTTTTTATTATTTTTTGTGATTTGAAATTTCAGATGTTTTGCCTATTCTAATTGATGAGGCTCCATTTCCTGTGAGGGAAAAATGCAATTTTAACGGTTCACATGTAAGTCCATCAAACCTGCTGTAGCGTACACTGCTCATTTTTTTAGAAAAGGTATGTTCTAAATTTCGTTGAATAATCTTTGATTCTTTTAACCAATCTTATCTTTCTTAGTTGGTATGCATCACAAAGAAACTGTTAAAGGCATTTTCTCCTTTTTTGACAATTTGAAGATATAAAAATGTCAACCACTATTTTTCTAGCCCATGCCCTATTTGTACATAGCTGGTCAGCCATTTAATCTCTTTCTGGAGGAATTGTAGGCTACACAACCCTTGGATAGAAGGGAAGCCCGCTTCTAACCTTGGTGATGATAGGATTTGATCCAGATCCAACCAATTAGTTTTCTCAGCTAGTATTTAAGACGTGATTGTTTTCGTGTAACTCTAAAGTTCCCAACAGAAGGCTTGCTTATGTTTGCTGATGTTTGCTGTTATCCCTAAAGCTGACTATATTCTGTAGTTATATTCTGTAGTTCTTATAGTTAACAGTTCCTGCTTCATTGCTTTGAGTGTAAAATTTCTTTTGTGCCAACTCTCCTTCACTTAATTAGATTTAGGACTTTTGCTCTTGAAATCACACAATCTGGAAATCAAATATGATGTACATGGGTTATGGTTAACTAGATGCGCTACCAGAAAGATGAACACCCTCCAAGCCTAATATAATGATGAGATTTCAAAATTGTGACAGAATTTGGACAATACTTTACATATTGCATGTTTCTGCCATACATGTATGACATGCTTTAAAATTCTTAGTAAGATTGAATCATGCCTAAAGTGTCATGCATGCCAAGGAAGCAAGGTTTGTTTCTGCTTGTTTTTCATGATTGTTGAAGTGCATGACTGTTTGCCAGGGATATTTTGAGTGGAACTTTTACCATTTTTTTTCCTTTGATAACATCATTTTTTGCATTCTGTGTTCTGTCAATTTGTTCATTTCAATTCTGTTGATTTTTGTCAAGTTACTGTAATCAAATTACACTTTTTCTGTTAGGAGGAATTTCAAGAAGTTATCTTTTGCACTAGGTTTTCTTAAAAAGGCCATTACAGTTAACACTCATAATGACAATGTTAAGGACATACGGTCAATGTGACCATTCATATTAGATATTTTTTGGGTAGTACCTTAGTTGGTTTGTTCCTTCATCTCATAATGTCCCTTTTCTGGTAAACTTTGAGGTTCAATATCCATAGAGAAGAAAATTTTGGCCCAAATGATTTATTGCAGTTTGTATGTAATTCAATTTTGGTCCTTTCCTCCTATGAAGTTCCTCATAAATGGAGTATTTTCAAATTATCTTTCCATTCTCTATCTCTGTGCAGCTGTGCTTCTATTAATTTACTATTTCAATTTGTGCAGGGCCAAGATGACTGTAGCATACCTGTCTTACCAGAGGAAGGAAATGTCAGTCCGCAACATACATCACCGTTAACATTTCTGAGCTTCTTAGGATTTCGTCTTTCATCTAAAAATCAAATGTGCTTGGCTTCTCAACTGAATTGCCAGAACTGCATTGATTCACAAATGCAAAATGAAGATGCTTATTCACCTTCCATTCTGAATGTGAATGTTGAGAAGGAAAGTTCTGAAATACTTAAATCCAATGATGAAATGGTAGGAAGTACAAAAGGTGAAGGTGTAATGACAGTAAGTACAGCTTGCTTATCACATTATGTAGCTGTAAATTACTTATCTCCGTTGTTTTTCTTTATTTTCTCTTTTTTACTAAAAAAATTATTCTGGTATTCTGATATTTGTACAAGAGAAGGGCTTTAAGGAGAGTGAAAAAAGGGAATATGAAAAGTGATTAAATTTCAAAATTTTTAAATCTTGATTTTATCAGAAAATGGTTGCTTATTTGCTTAAAATCTTTTTTTTTCCCTCAGTTTCTAATTTTGATGGCTTGCAGCATTTTCAGAAGGTTTTGCAGAGACAAGCAAGCTTAAACACAGGTGAGTGACTAGTTGAGCTTTGATTCTTGATGACTACTAAAATTCACTTTCAAGGTTTTCACTTGATGCATTCTTTAGAGTCATATGGAGAGTGCATACCATACTTAGAGTCCACAAATAAAAATTCCTAGTTATTTATTTATTTATTCAAAAGTTGTTCTCTCCTTCCTCTCAAGCTCTACATATGGTATCAAAACCATAAATGGTCAGGGACTTTTTTTCTCTGTTGTCTCTCTTCAGAAGAGCAGCAGCCAGGGAGACTCTCTCTCTGCAAGTGTGTCGTTGACTTGTTGTAAACATATAGATTACAAACATGAAACCACAGGTTTACTTCCAGTACTTGACAGTCTTTTGATGTTATTTTTTTTTCAACTTTTGGGATCTGAAAAATTCAAAGTTGGAACAGAATTAAGTAATTCATACTACTGTTCATAAGCTTTGCTAATTCAGTAGATTTGTACACTTTTATGACTGATAAAGTCCTTTTTGTCAATTTTCACTAGCTTTTCTTTGAGAGCGAATTTTCCATGTGGTGGATCTCTCATGACATATCTCATCTTGAAGATCAACCTATTTTCATTGTGTAGATGCATTGCACATCCATTGAACTTCTCCCCAGTAATTTAACTTTTGCTTGAGCATGAAGTATAACTTTAAGCCATAGATGAAAATTTACTTTTTAACAGATAAATCACTGACTGAGAAGGTTCATGACGCACCGACAAATAGGTGGAAAAGATATAAGCGTGCTGCCTCGTTTGATTCAAGAAAAGTTGTCATCCTTTTCTCAATCTTGTAAGTGAAAGATCCCAAGCAAAACTAAATATAATCTGTTATTTTGGGTTCTTTTTAGGAAGGGAAACGAGAATTTGCTATCAAGAGTCTGAAAACCAAACTTAGCATTAAATTTGCATCAAATAACAGCAGTTCTCGCCGCGTTCTTATAGGCATGTTGATCATGGAGTATGGACAGAGTAGACTTGTTCTTACTTCGATGTCTGTTTATTATTTCTCGCAAAATATATCCTAGTTGAATAAATCATAATGAGGTTGTAATCTAAAACTTCTGTAATAGACAAAAGTGGTTAGATAACCAATAATTTCACTAGGATTGATATTTCGTAAAATCAGGTCAACGAAAGAAAAGGATGTTAAATCAATCAAAATGATTTGGTATTTTCCTGGTAAATGGTGCATCTACATTTGCATTAAGTTGGTCTTTCTTATAATAAGAAAATCTCATCTAGTGATTAACTTAACTGACTGGTCTATTTTTCTGGTTCAGGTCAAGTGTAGGAACATTGATTTTGATATATCTGACACTGAGAGTTAGGCAAACAGCTGATGGGTTCAATCATGTCTAGGGCTACCTCATTCTTGATCTGCTGATTGATGCATGAAATTTCTTTTGTAAAGTTGTATTGGGCACTGCTGTTTCTTAAAGACTGTTGTTGAGTTGAGCTTTTAATATCTTAAAGATTATCTCAGCAATAGTGTGACTAAAGCTGATTTTTTGTATCTTCTTTCCATGCAAATGTCAATACTTATCATGGTTCATAAATAGATTTTTGGGAATTATGCTACATTTTACGTTACATGATGCAATGAAAGAATGGAGTATTACTAGTTTCAACTTTCAACAGATAACACAAGAACCACCGTGGTGGTTAGAGTGGGTGGCCAAGGCCGCTACCTCCCCACGGATGGTGCCAAGGGTCGAGTGGGGATACCCTCCTCCCCCTTTGTAAGAAAAAGGAAAAAATAAAATAAATATGAAAGATAACACAAGGCTACTAGATTTTTATGTAAAATTCTGCTGTTGTTTTTCAATACTATATTTTCAACATCAAAACAGTGAATGTCATAAAAGGAGCTAAAAATGTGGCATAATGGACATAAAGCATAAATGGTTCCTACGCGGGCAACAAAACGGCAATAACAGATGTGCATACCGTGTACTATTTTACTTTGAAGCATTAACCTGCGACCTAAATATGACAACAAATGGTGATGTGCTCCGATGGAGTGGTGAAGCCCAAAATCATATTCAAGTTAAAGCCAAATTAATTCATCACTTGTGTATTGGACGCTTGCTTCCTGAAGTTTTGGTAAGTACAATTCCCTAACACGGGCAACCCCCTCCTTGCTGGTTCCCATTCTGGGACGAATTGACAGTGGGCTTCAGATTCACATCAACCATGTCTTCCTGCTTTGTTGAAGAAAGAGTTTCCATGCCCGGTAAGGCAGCTGCAACTTTTCGGAATAGAGGCTGCAATTTCACATTGGAGGACAATATATCGAAGTCAAAACTGGCTTTCCATATGGAGAACTGGGTAATATTTCATTGTCGTGTTACCTTGATATTGAATCCTGCTTTTGCGCTTGTTTCTATAAACATGACACCAAATTCGCGAGCCTTGTTATCTCCTTCCTCTATTGAAACCTGCCTGTTTAATCATAAAAAGAAACAACATATGGGATACATCTGCGCGGATGGAAGTAAAATTTTCAGTCCACTGCTTACCTTTTATCAACCAGATCAGTCTTGTTCCCAACGAGGACAATAATCACATCGGTTCCTCGTTCAGTACGTACCTCTTCAATCCACTTAGAAGTGTTCAAAAATGATTGTCTATCTGCATGGTAATAGCTAACTGAGGAACTTACATGGTAAAAACAACCAAGAAGCATGTAAATTTTCCAGAAGAAAAAAGGGAAATCACACCCCTTGAATCAGATGATATACTCACTAGCTACATCATAGGCAATTACTGCTACGGAAGAATCTCTAATATAGCTTGGAATAAGACTCCTAAATCTCTCCTGCCCTGCAGTATCCCTGTGAATTACAAATTCAGAAGTTTAAACTAAAATTCTAGACAACAAATTACATTGTATGCGCTTCATGAAAATCATCAGGAATTAGATTGACAAGCAAAAAAAAGTGCAAGAATACTGAAAAGGATAATTTGTAGTGGGTTAGAGCTCAGAAGATAGAGAAATTTTTACCAAAGCTGCAATCGAATTGTACGATCCTCAAGATACATTGTTTTGGACAAAAAGTCAATTCCAATTGTGGCCTGCAACACATAGCGAAAAGAGTGAGCCATAAAAACAGTCTGCGAGAAAGCCAACGCAGACCTTAAGATCTGTTTCTGCGATCACACGGACTGGAATTTTGTATGTCGCGAAGCATCATCGGACAAAATTCCATGTCAAGAACTCCATCTCTAATTAATGGACATGAATCGTGCTAAACAGATCTACTCCATTCTTTTACGATCGGGGATGGTCATTCTATTTTCCAGTTTCCTCCATACCTATTTCAATGTTCGAATCTTGAAATCTCTAACTTGAGTCTCAAGAGATGTTTTTGGAGGTGGATCTACACTACTCTAATTCATTCACTGTGATTAATTAACAGCTAAGACTCCAGATCAATCTCCACAAAACATTTTGTAATCCAATTATGCCATAACCAAATTTAACACCGCAGATTGATGAAAATTATGTCGAAATGTAAAAACCATAGAACGCCAGCGAATTCAACACGAATCATTAGAAAATTTCCTCGAAATTTCTGAAAATTGAAAATGTAGATGAAGATAGACCTGGTAAGTTGTGTCGAATTTATCATACATGAAGCGAGTGATGATGCTGGTTTTGCCAACAGATTGATCGCCCAAGAAAACGAGCTTGTATTTGGCGAGAGGGGAAACCGTCGCCATTAATTAATGTTGAGATGGTTCTTTTTTTGGTTCTAATTGCAATGAGCGAGATCAACAGTTTCAGATCTGAATCTCCGCCGAGGAAGAATGAGTATTACTATTTACAGAGGCAGGAAATGGAAATTTGGGAGAGCATTGAGGGGAGCAAGAGAAAGAGAAACCCGCCAAACACGATTACAACGGCTAAGACAAAACACAAAATCTTTGAAAATCTCTTGATTTCCACATTTGCCCCCCCTTTTTTTTTTGTTTGGAAACGACCGTGTAGCCTAAACAGTGCATTCCAATGGCTTCAACCATGTTTGGACAGAAGGAAAATGAAGGCATGCTTGGTTTTAGTTGTTAGATAATAGTTGATGGCTAATAATCTTCACATCTAATGATTTTTTTTTTTTTTTTGAAAAAGGTAATGGTTAGAGGTGTTAGTGTGTAGGGAGGGTATTGAATCGGATATGGGATGCAAACCACGGCCTACCCCAAAGGACAGCAAGTAGCCGTTGCGCCATGCACGTGGAATGCCATATCTAATGATTAATAATTGTTGGTATCATGCAAATACACTTATTTATTGGATTAGAAAAATAGCTTGTTAGGGTCAAAATGAAATGAAGCAATTTTTAACCAATTATAAATGAAGTATTGGCCTCTTTTCTTTGATTTGATTGGAGGAAAATTGTTTTCTTTCTTTTTCTTTTCACTCATTTCCATTGGTCGAGAATTCACTTAGGAAAGAAAGACGGCAGATTTTGAAGTCTTCTGTTGAACATGAATGCCAACAGGCAGTTGATGCAGTCATTCTTGCAGTATCTGGAGATCAACAGTTGATGGTTGAACAAGGTTGGTAACTGACTTCTACTAAAATAAACACAAATGTTTTCAGGAAATCAACAACAACATCTGGAGATGTATAGTGTGTTTGCTGATAGGACAATGATTATGATCTGACTTCTACAAATATAAACACAAATGTCTTCAAGAAAGTCCTATGAATCATTTGCTGCGTCTTCATTTACCTCAGGCTTCACAAAAAACTCAATATAAGCTATTCGGCTGGGTTGCTGATAGCCAGCAGAATCAACATGGGGATGTGAAGTAGATGGCCTGGCAACTGAAACCAGGTGCTGAACTTTCAGCATGCCTCCTCTCCCCATGGTCAATTTACTTCCTCTGTTATCTCTAATAACACTGCTGGGTAGGTTTGAAGTGGCTGCCTGTAGAAACTTGTACTTATATCTGTTGAGGCCAAGGCAAGAACATGGAAAGTTCTTTGGTGAAAGCAAAATGGTGCATGAGATGTAGAGCATGAATAAGATAAGAAGATACCTGTAAGAGATTTGATGATCACACTGAAATGCAATCAGGAGATCAGTATTTGCATAATACATGAAGTCAATCTGTAAAAAAGAATAGCAGTAAAGCTTCTTGTATATTAGAAAATCCAGCACAATTGGTCATGGGCAAGAGACAAGCAATACCTGCAAGTCTCCATGGCCTTCTCCTTTAAATGTAACACATGGTGGTGCAGGCTGGAGACTAATCTTGATGCTTGATCCTGGCCATTCTAGATCATCAATTGCTTCTTTTAGTGCTGCAGACTGAAGAATGAACACCATGATTGAATTTTTCAGTTGTAACTGTTTGTTACACGCATACTCTATTCTCTATATAGTCTATACTTGAAATCTCTTAAATGCATTGTCTTGTCCAAAAGAGTTAAGAAAAAGTTGAGCATAATCTAACCATGCAAAAAAGTTCACGAAAGTAGGTATCTAATACCAGAGCATCAGCAGATCTATTTTTGTTAAAGTGAAATACCTGAACAGTAAAAAATATTAATCACATTCACTCTCAAGTTCGTAAACTAAGTGGAATTTGTTACAAAGAATAAAATCAAGCACGAGATAAAAACAAGTTTATTACAAGTTTGAGTCAAATGAAAACAATATTGAAAGGATCGAGAAAGAAAAGTTTTAATGATATTATTATTCATCTCGGATAAATGTCACCTATAACTACAGCTAATTATGGCCGTACCACTAAAGTATCATGTTAATGGAGTACACATTCAGTTTCCTTCCTGAAATCAAAATCAGAAGCAAATATGCAAGCAGGAGAAACAGAGATTTGAGGTAGCAATTTACATGGAAGTTTTAGAAGGAAATGTAAAATCTAAATTTACTAGCTATATACGACATACTCTCACTATCCTCAAGATACAACACACTCTCACTATCATCTTATCATATACCATGTAAGATTATACCTTTACGGTAAAACTGAGTGGTGAGCTTCCTGCAGGTTCAAAGTTGTAGTCCCATGAAATCGTATCTGGGATTCTTGTCCTGATTTCTGCATAAATGCAAGCATCAAGCGAATCAACAGACCTAGAAAACATAGAAAATATGAGTTATGGCAAACGGGGTAAAGTCAAAGGAGCTAACTTCAAGTACAGATACGAAACTGATCATACAGATTTATCTATCCAAATTGAAAAAGCAACTCACAGGTACTGGCATTTTGTCCTTTACTCTCACCTCACTTCCTAGCATTATTTATCTATCCAAATTGCAAAATCAAAGTATGGTGTAAGCAGTGATAACAAAGAGCATCGAAACGTACTTGATAAGGAGCTGCATATCAGGTCCTGGATACCGAATCTCAATAATACTTGAACGTCCAGGAGCAGAAAATGTGTTCAAGCAATCAACAAAGAGCCCCAAACTCACCCCGAACCTAGGCCGCCCTTCGGCATGGTATTCATAGCGAATAAAAAGCTAGAAAAGTGTCAAACCATAAAATTAGATGCAATAAATCGGTTATCAAACAGAAAATCAAGCTTCAGTCACCCAAACACCAAATTGTATAAACAAAGATTCAACTCAAAAGCCATTACTACAAAGTGAAAGTGAAACTATGAGTACCTCCCGTTGAAGATAAACTTTGGCTTGAAGACAACTGGTTTCCTCCACAATCAACACGACCCCGTGCTCCGACAGTTCAATCACGGCATCCTGTAATTACAGAGGAAATCAGAAAAACCCTTACAAGATGAAAGAGAAATAATGGAATCAGAGTGGAGCGCAGACCTGGTGACGCTTCCATCGGACGGCGGAGAAGGCATCGACCATACCTTGGACGTTGTCCATCTGGCACACCAGATCCGGCGCCGCCGGTTCAAGCGCCGACGAGCTCATCTCTCTCCCCCTCCGCACTGTCCTTTTCCCACCTTCCGCGCCAATTTTTCCTTCCCAAACCAAAAAAAAAGAAAAGGAATATTTAACCGCTTTAGGCTTTTTTTTAGTGGCCCATGGACCTCTTAGCCTTTTTAAGATCATGGGCCCTTAGCCCATAATATTTTTTTTTAAATAAAAAAGGAAGAATAACACAAATGAAAAACCTCATCTTTCCGAGCATCTCACTCACCCGAAGACGATGGTATCAGCTCTGAGACTACCTTCTCTGACTTCCTTGCTTTACCCCAACTTAGTCCGCCGGTACCCGGCGGCCCTGCGTAGGCGCCACAGCATCCGGCCGCTTCTGGCCTCCGGGTTCTCTGCTCAGAGTGCGGCTTCTAGTCCGCCAGATACGGTGGACCGAGTCGACAACCAGAAAAGCCGAGTTCAAGACCGTGTGAACTCAGACCAAGTTATCACGCCACGTTCTCAGGACTTCAATGCTTGGTATCTCGATGTAATTGCGAATGCTGAGCTAGCTGATTATGGCCCCGTTCGGGGTACCATGGTTATTCGCCCCTACGGCTACGCTATTTGGGAGGCAATTCAGGTACTTCCTTTTCGCCAGTTTCAGTCTTTGTTAAATGGAAATCTTCACCTCTGTCCCCTTTTCACAAGAACAGCTTCTGCAGTGATCTAACTTGGGTTTGGTTCGGATTTGTGCCGAAAATTGTAGGAATATTTGAACGTTAAGTTCAAGGAGACTGGACACAGTAACATGTATTTTCCACAGGTATGGTTCTCATTCTCAACCCTCTGGTGAAAACGAGATGAAAAATTCAAACTTTACGTGCTTAAGAATATGTGTGTACTGCATAAGTGCTTTGTAGATTATTTGTCTAGTCTAATATTTGCAAATTGAATTATGGATTCAGTTTATTCCATACTCTTTCATTGAGAAAGAAGCAAGTCATGTAGAGGGTTTCAGTCCAGAATTAGCTCTCGTTACAATTGGAGGAGGGAAGGAGCTTGAAGAGAAACTTGTGGTACATATCTTACTTGGCTGAATTATTTGTGCATTGCAAAATGATGGTCTTGATGAAAATTCTGCTTTTCATGAGAAAGTTTGAACTGAGTTTTGGCTTTGATTGTTGCACTTCTTGAGGTTGTGGCAGGTTCGACCTACTAGCGAAACCATTGTAAATCACATGTTTACTCAGTGGATTCATAGTTACCGAGATCTTCCTCTCATGATTAACCAGGTATAAACTTAATTAGTTAGTGCTTAGTTTCCCTATTAAGCGGGGTTATTGCTCATTAATTTTTCCTGCTTTACTGTAATTTGGTGCAGTGGGCAAATGTCACAAGATGGGAGATGCGCACAAAACCCTTTGTGAGAACTCTTGAATTTCTATGGCAGGAGGGTCATACTGCTCATGCTACACTGGAAGAGGCAGAAAAAGAGGTTTGTGATTCATTTATGACCTGGTGATGATGTTTTTAGGTGGTTATGTTGTTGTTTAATGAATCATGGATGTTGTAGTGCAGGCACTACAGATGATTGATGTTTATACTAAGTTTGCTTATGAGCAAGCTGCGATACCTGTTATTGCTGGTAGAAAATCAAAAGTGGAGACATTTGCTGGTGCTACCAAAACCTACACAATAGAGGCTATGATGGGTGATCGCAAGGCATTACAGGCTGGAACCAGCCATAATCTTGGGCAAAACTTCTCCCGTGCTTTTGGGACACAGGTGAGTTTCTTTTGCGTTGCAATTCTGATTCCTCCTGTATCTTCTGCTAGAACTTGGTTTACTTCATTCTACTCTAAAATTTTTTCTAATTCATTAAAATGCTCATTTGATGAAAGTTTCCAATTCAAACACTCTCTTCGTCCCTCCTTTTTCTGGCTTCTTATTGATATTTTGTTTTTACATATATAGCTTCAAAAAACTAAAGAGGCACTTGCCTGCATGTGTACTTGTACAGTTCACTGATGAAATTGGACAAAGGCAACATGTGTGGCAAACATCATGGGCTATCAGCACAAGGTTCGTTGGTGGCATTATCATGGCACATGGAGATGATGCTGGTCTAATGCTTCCCCCAAAGGTTGCACCAATACAGGTATTTATGGAGGCATTTTAATCTTGCTTAGGTGACGTGACATTTTTTGTGTTTGATTTGTACAATCATTGTTAATTATTTTGACATGGGCAGACATTACAATTAGGAGCACAGCTAAATAACTGGAGTCTACATGATGGGAACTTCGAAGTGGATTAATTTACCCAAAAAAAAAAAAAGTGGTAGATTAATTATTGCTATAAGAAGCTTGGGCTTGGGCATTAACAGTGCACAACTCCTTTTACAGCTAAATAATTGTGATTCCAGTTATAGGTAGCTTGTTTACTTTTAAGGGACAATGATGACTAATAATTCTATGGAGTTAAATTAAATGTCAAGAATCTCAAGATAATTAGTTGGGCTGAAATTGAATTGAACATAATATATACCTAAGTCTTGAAGAAGATGATTTTAAATGCTGCACTGAAAGAGGTTATGTTATAGTTAGCTGTATCTGTGTGAGCATATTAATTGTGAGAATGCCTTGTTCGAGAATTTTTCCTCTGGAAGGATACTTCTCATTCTAATACATTTATGTAATTTAGTGGGATTAATTAGTATGTTTATTAGCTAATTTTAAAATAGATGTAGATTAGCAGAGTGGCTGTTGTCCTTTGTAAACAAATGTGCGCACAATAAGTAGCAGCCTCTTGCTATGGTGTCATCTATTTAGACTTGGTAGATTAATGGCTTTTAACGCAGTTGCTATTAAAGGACTTGATTGAAATGCATTTTGTGAATCTTGAGCTGGATGCAGGTTTTTGGTTTTTTTTTTTAATCAAAATGGAGCTTCTAATTGAGTGTACAGGAGGTAGTGACATTGTTTATATTTGTGGCCACTAAAGCATGAAATGGAAAATTTGTGCAATGCTATTAGTATGAAGTTCTTGTTGTAAGATTAAGTTTGACTTTTGGAAGAGATTTGGTTGGACTGTTAACTTCTTTTGTGGGGTTGGTTGAAAGGTTTATCTTTCCAATTCATGTGCATTCCAAATTATGCTTTGGCTATTCTCTTTGTTATTATTATGAAATTTATATTTTTATGTTCTCCACTGTGCATGCTCAGGTGGTGATTGTACCAATTTGGAAGAAGGAAGATGATAAAACAGGAGTTCTCAATGCTGCATCATCTGTTATGGAAGTTCTCAAAACTGCTGGACTTAAAGTCAAACTTGACAACTCAGATCAGAGGACACCAGGATGGAAGTTCAATTTCTGGGAGATGAAGGTCTGTTTGTTATTAAGGTTCAAAATGTGGTGAATTTTAGATGATTATTCTGTAGTATAAAAAAGAGCAATTGCTTATCCTAAGGTTCTTAAGTTCAAACAAAAAGCCACAAGCTATTTACATTCCTCCTTTAATGTCAATAATGACTCAGGGGATAAGTTTAAAATGGGCCCTTTTGAAATTTTGTACAACTTGGCCAATTATGCAGATAATGTGCATAATACATCCAGTTTCTTCTCTATTTTATTTATTTATTTTTTTTAATCTTAGTTTCTTCTCTACTTGTTTGTTTGTTCTTGTATTGTGATACTGTTTCTTTTCTTTACCTCGGTGTAAGGGGACTGTGGATTACTTATTGTACTCCACCTATTTTTATAAAACTTCTCATTTTGCCAAGCTAAATAAAAATTAAAAAAAAAAAAAAATCTAGTTTCTAGAATACCCAAACATAATCTTTCCATGTGTGTCTAGCCATTGATTGTTTGTTTTGGGTGCTTGTATCAATTTATCATGTGGCATGTTTTGGATAGAAAATGACCTTTTCTTTTTCTTGCTCTTTTAAGAAACAGATGCTTTCCTACTTGTTTTATTTGCTCAAGTCTTAGATATTGATTTGGTAGGGAGTACCTCTAAGGATTGAAATCGGTCCACGTGATGTTTCAAGTGAAAGTGTGGTCATATCAAGGAGAGATGTTCCTGGAAAGCAAGGAAAAGTGTTTGGAATTTCTATGGACTCTTCAATATTAGTACCTTATGTGAAGGAAAAGTTGGATGACATCCAATCATCCCTTCTTCAAAGAGCAATATCTTTTCGGGACAGGTAAATTCTATGGCTGAAATAGTTATATTGTTTGAAAGCTAATTATTATGTGATTTGAGCTGATAAAGAGTGTATTGTATCAAGGGCAGTTATATATTTTGTGGTCATAGGATGCTTGTGTATATATACACAGATGTACTATGATTAATGCGATCATTTGCTAGTTGAGGAACTAGTGGAATTTTTGAAAAAGAAAATTTTAGAATTGATGACTTGGATGGGGTAAGCTGTACCTTTGTAATTATTTTAGTAAGCAAGCAAAACCTTTCAAACTATTTTCTGTTGTATTTACCTTTGTAATCAGAATAGATGGTGCAAGCAAGAGAAATTTAATGTACATTTATAGAGTTTAAACTTCTTGACCGTGCCTCCAAGTATTAATTTGAAATTTTTAAAGCGAATTAGTTTTTTGCGTGTAATAGTTGTAAGTCACATTGTAATGTGATCATGGTGTGCATGGGTTAGTCGTTACTGTAATTAGTGTTGACTCTAGATGGGAATCTGAATCTCTACCATGTTGGTGTACGACTCCATAAACTGCCTAATGTCCTTTTTATCAAAATCATGGGACCCAATGAGGGAAGAAAAGATTGGTGGCAGTTTATGGGGGAGTGGTGTACACCAAAACGTCACAGAGGATATATGGCTCCTCTAGGTGGATGAGTGGTATCCCGGTATCCAATGTGAAAGGCCTTCATTAACTTATGTTTAATGCTATCTTGGCATTGTTTTGCAGTAATATTGTGGATGTGAGCTCCTATGAAGAACTGAAGACAGCAATTTCCTCAGGCAAATGGGCTAGGGGTCCTTGGTCAGCGAGGTATTTCATTCTATCATGTTGACCTTAGATATGTAAAATAGTCCATTTCTTATTTATTTTCTTAGATATTGACACTTGTGAGGTGCTAACGCTATGTTCAAATTGTTTACACAGCGATGCAGATGAGTTAAAGGTAAAAGAAGAAACAGGGGCAACAATCCGATGTTTCCCTTTCGAACAGCCCCAAGGAAGCAAAACATGCCTCTTGACTGGGAACCCTGCAGAAGAAGTCGCTATTTTTGCAAAATCTTATTGAATCTATTGCATGCTTATTGATGATTAATCTAGTTTCAAGGCTACAATGAGATGGACTAAAGTTTCTCAAGGTTTCCTCATTCCCATCCTCCCTCTTGTAATACAAAGTTTTGGTTCACATTTTAAGAAGATGTATTTTATCAAATTATTGTTTGAAAAGCAAGGAATGGTCTCAATTCTTCACTGAATTCGAAGTAAATGTTATAAACGGTCTATCCCATTAAGCAAGCAGCCAACCAACTTAACGGTTTCTTCATTTACAACCAGAGACTTCTAATGCTTTTTCAGACTGTTCTACGATTGCCCTCTCTCTTTTTACATTCTGCAGCCTGCACTAAATGAATCTTATAATCTCAGAAGTATATGCACTGCTCAGCCGGGAACTTCTGGTTATGATGCCAACCGCAATGATCAAGCTTCATAATTCCCTACTTCTTTAGAAGGAAGGAACTCTCTTTTCTTAAAATTCCAGATATCTGGCTTTGTTTCCCCATCATTCTCATATACTAAGATGTGCATCAGGATATCTCAAGAAAACAAGAGAATTTGGAGATGGATTTCTCATCTCAAAGACAGAAATTGCTTCGTGGAAGGACGCTATCACAGTCCTCAAGTCCTGTGAAACCCATTCTTCCTGGGCTGAAAACCTCTAGATTGTCAAATGTTGTGATTTTTTTTTGAACAATGGGAAATTCTTTTGGGGAAAAGGAAAAGGGAAAAGGGACCTGAAATTAAAACACAGGTCTTGGTAGTTCTAAGCATGTCCTGCAAGAATGGACCAGTAAGTCGCCAAGTGCTGGACGTAAAATGTTGTGATTTTAAAAGCATGTAAAATAGGAGTTTTCATTTATTTTTCTTTTCAAAAGATAGAACTTTTATTTTTATTTTTTTTAAACAGTTTACAATTTTGGGAATGGATGAAGAGAGTTTTCAAAACATTGGTAGGATTTGAAATCTCAATTGACTCACCTAGATATCTTACAGTTTGGGAACGAATCATTTGGCTTCGAACACCTTGAAGACCCGGTTCACAGATTTCAAATCTGTCTCCTTAACCACTCGGACATGTCTATTAGAACATATTTTAAAAAGAAACTTTATTCTATGTATAAAACCTGTTTTCTTTTCCATTTTTATCATTTTAAAATAATTTTTTAAGAAGTTGCATATGCATCACCCAGCATGCGGTGCACTTTTTCCCATTCAAGTTGTTAGAATTTTTTTTTTTAATTTAATTCATTTTTATTAAAATAAATAAAGTAAAATAATATTAATATAACTTTTGAAAGAATTCTATTTAAATAAATGAATTAGAAAAGAAGTATTATATTTAAAAGTTAAATATTTAAAATGTAAATTTATATAAAGTTGATATTTTGCAATTCAGATTGTAAATTACTTTTTTAATTTATATAAAATATTATTAATTGTGATAATATGACATCAAATTAAGTTTTTTTATTGTTTCCTATTGTATATGCTCTAAAACATATAAGGTTTCAAGAAGGAACTCGATGGCTGGAGATGCAGATACAAAAGAAGGCTGGAATCTTGATGATGTCGCTTCCCTTTGCATTGATCACTTCATGAGGATCATAACTGGAATCAGAGCAAGAAGGAACAAACTTTAGAGATTTGTAGACAAATGCATCATGCATTATGCATAGAAATGGTTGCCATGCATGGGTGAAGAATTAGAAAGCCTAGAGGATATAGGCATTGGAAGAATGAGTTACAGTTCAGTTCCATGAGCGGATGAATACTTAAGATACAAGATGACTGCTAAGAGTATGGAAAGATAATTAACAGGCAGAAGAATACCAGGATGGACTCTGTGTTGCAGAGAAATATTAAGAACTCTTCACACAAGGTGGGAAGATGAAACTGCAGATGGACACCAGAGCTCATATTCACTGGGTTCAGGAAATGTAATCAATCTCATACATTTCTTAATCATAACATCAATGTTCAGCCTAGCAATTGCTATAACATCATCATATACATCCATTTAGAGTGAACATCATAATCATCCTGTGCCTCCCTGCATTTATAATATTCCTCACTAGCAAAAAGAAGAAACACATATTATCAGTTGCTATACTTTTACAATCAGTAGTCAGTAGATCATGTAAAAGCCAGGAGAACATGCTCAATTAATCGAAGAAACAAAATTCAGAAACTCCAACGTAGAAAAGCTATCCCAATGCCCAATTTCCACATTCATAGTCCATTACAAAACCACAATATCTAATGCAGTTTGAACCATGAAGTATAAACCCTTATTAAACCCTATTCTCCATCCAAGTCTAAAAAAAAAAAA